TTTGATGCCGCGAGGAAAGTGTAAATGAAGCTGATGGACGAACGCCCTTTAAACTTATCCTGAATTATCCTGGTTATCCTGAATCACGAATCACGAATTATAATAAATACTTCCAAACTGGATCTTGGCAATTGGCGATTTGTCCATGCTCTTTATCAAGCTATGAGGGTATGCGCAGTGCTGAATGCAATGAGGAAAACATTGAAAACTTCTATCTCCATGTCCTCAAATAATTTTTGGAGAGAGAGAGAGAGGGTGCTTGCCGTTGTCTACAGCAGCAATCATGTCAATACTGGTTTCCATTACCATTTGTTTTTTTCTGAAAATCATGAATGTTCATTTGATTGCAAGGCTTACTGGATTCCTTGTTGAGCCTTATTAAGCCTCTCGAGTTACAGATGTAACAAGTTAGTCCGAAGCTTTCACTTATCCGTCATTCATTAGCCCTGGCGATCTGATTTTGAAAATATTGTTTGAAAAATGGGTAATATACGGTATATGCGCTTTTTATAGCATGCACAGCTTCATAACACTTAAGAAATTCAAAAAAAGCTCTCGTCTCCGACAAAATTGCTCCATGGCGTAACCCAAAGGGACTACTCGAGTTCTCACTTCTTAAAAACTTAGGGTTTTTTCATAATAAGTAAACTCTCAGAGGTTGAACACCTTACATTCACGCGCAGGGCATTATTTAAAAAAAGAAGGCAGTTGTGAGCCATTCCACTTTTGACTAATATGCTCGTGACTCACTACTCGGAAGGTCAGCGGATGATGCCCGCCTTTCTTCGCCAGCTGCCGATCCTAAAGAGACAAAATAAACGAGAGACTGAGTGTTCTTGCACCAAGACTGTCTGAAATCGTTGCAGTATCGAGAAGTGAAGGCTGTCACCGTTTGGAAATTGGCATTCGATGGAGTGCAAAAATCCCCAGGGAAATCACATGTGACAAGATTGGGATTCCACCATGTTCCATTAGGACAGTTCTACAATGGGGAAGGATAAGAGTAAGTCGAGTTCTGTGGTGATGAGGACGAAGGGAGAGTGCATCCGACTCACGAAGTGGAATGCTTCGCCGTTGATGCACTCGTAGAACGACTCGCAGCTCTCTGGGTCCGGAAAGAACCCGTCGTCCTCTGGACATTCGAAATCACCTGTTCCTGTCGTCGCGGGCGATTCCGTCGTCGTAGGCGATTCCGTCGTCGTGGGCGATTCCGTCGTCGTAGGCGATTCCGTCGTCGTGGGCGATTCCGTCGTCGTGGGCGATTCCGTCGTCGTGGGCGATTCCGTTGTCATCTCTGTCGTTTCTGTTGTCGACGTACTTGAAGTTTCCTGGGGTGCTGCGGAGCAAAGAGTGAATTACCTCATGGGCTACGGTTTATCGAAAGGAGAATTTCTGCATTCGGCAAAAATGTGTCTCACTTGTCGGTCTAGGAAGGCGATCTCCGCAATCGACTATTTCTGGATCCTCGCATGTTTTCTTGACATCATCGAAAAGGTTGTCTCCAAAGCATTCCAAGAGGGTGTGGTGGTATTCGATGCAGACATAGTAGAGGTAGCAGTATGTTTCGTGGGCAAATGTTCCCTCTTCCATCGGGCACTCGAAATCTTGAG